TCAATCCTGATAAATTTTTGGTGAGATGTGGACATGGGCTAGTGCTATTATAATCTGAAGACAGATTCAAATTATCTTGATTAGTTTTTGAGTTATGGCCGAAATGAACATTAATTTCTGAACAACCTATTACATATTCAGAGTTTATTATGAAGGGGTATAAGGTAGTTGTTTAGTAAAGATACCAGGCTGATTATGTCATAATGGTAATTGAGTAGGTGTAGGGTAAATAATGAAATAAATTACCTTGACAGTCTTGCCATCCATGCGCGCCTCCTCGAACTCTTTGCCCAACTCGAACTTGATCTCGCTGTTCTTAAAGCCGGCGATTGTCTTGAGAGTATAGGTGTCGCCATCTTTGGTGATGTTAACCACGGGCGTCGACATCTTGGCCATATTTATCAGTACAACATTTACGCCTAAATTGCATACATAATAAAATGAACGAGATAGGTAAATAAAATCATTTTAAAGGCAAATCATTTTGTTTGTAGTTTATATTGTATTATTTCATGATTTATATGTTTAATAAATGAATAAATGTGACAAGATGATTTATTAAATGTTTTTACACTCACCGAGCTCCTCTAAAAATTCGTCAAAATTGTTGGAAGTATTGAGCTTGAATGTGCCGGTGAAGTCGGTTATTTTCTGCTCCGCTATAACAAATATAATATACATGTATTTTAAAAATTAATAAAAATATACCAAATTAAAATTATTTTTCAATAACGTTTTAAAATAATGTTAGTATTTAATATGTTTTTATATTAATACATACGATTTAAATTAGCTAACACTGTATAAGTGCTGATGGTCAATACGACCGCAATAATCAGGGTTGTTGCTAAACGCATTTTAGTTATTGTGACACCTTATACTTTAATAAGGCGCGTTTTATAATTGTAACTTATGATTGTGGTTAACTATTAACTATGAAAATAATTTGCCAATTTGGCGCACAGATGGTTTTGATTAAGACCAAACTATTTATACAAAGTAGATGTTATAAATGGTGTAGTAAAATAAATTGCACAATTTTATTTTAAAATAAAATATTTGTTTAAGTTAGTTATTAAATTTTATTTGTCTTAAGTTTAAAACTTAATAAATATAAGAATGACAAACAGACAAACAATTATACAAAAGATGTTAAATTATTATAACTAATGTTTCTATGTTAATTTAAATATAATTTTAGTTTAATTCATAAAATATTTAAAACATTTTTATTAAAATATTTTGCTTTAATTTTTATTCATATTATTATTTTATAAATAAACAAATGATTCATTCAATTAACATAAGCATTGCTATCATATTTCA